TGAATACCTCCTTCTTTTGGGAAGTCGGTCAAAAACCAGATTAATGAACAAACAGATCAATCAAATATGGTAAAGTAACAGTTATGATAATAGTTACCAAAGATAACAATAATATACAAGTTACCTTCGTCAGCTTTGGCGCGCTCGTCGTCGGGGTCGCGGCGCATCCACTTGCGCGCTTGTCTGAAGTTGCAGGCGGGCCGCGCGCCGCGCACCAGCGACCCCTTCTGCGGCTCCCCGCGTGCGCTCACACACCAACACACGTCTGCATAACACACATTATCTTACAAAAATGTAATTGAATGATGATTGTGGGTGTTATGTACCCGAAACTGAGAATTAATAGTCGAAAGTGCGACTTCTATTCTGGCTACCGACTGCAGTACATTATCATACTTCATACTAATAAATGCGAAAGTTTAGATGGATGGATGTTTGTTAGAGTTTGTAGCCTAAACAGCTGAACGGATTTAGATGAAATTTGGTATAGATGTAGAGGATAGCCTGGAAGAACACATAGGCCACTCACTTGTTTTTTTTAGTTCCACGCGGAAGTCGCGCGTAACAGCTAGTTATTTAAATAAATCAGTCGCATTCATACCGTCCTTTCATTTACACCCCTATCTAACTTTATAGCAGATTTTTTTTTTTAAAAATTGTTTTCCTTTTGGGTACAAAGTTTAAATAAAATAAATGTATAAAAAAAATCTTTGCGTTTCCACTGAAAACCTAGTTACTTTTTAGGACAGAAATCTTGCTATAATTTCTCTGCGGGATTTTATTCTTATCAGATTCAAGTTAAACCCTTATAGGTATTTAGAAATACATTGGTATATAAAAAATGGACTTAGAAGTTTCGATACTTCTTTCGGTTATAACAAATAATAGTCGCTTTCCGAGGCCTTCTATACATAAAACAAACAATTACCAATATGTGCCATGCACTGCACGGGCTGCCAGCCGCCGGCCGCGTCGCACTCGGGGATGAAACTACCCTTGCCGTACTTCTGCGTAGCCGCCTCATTCTTTTCACGAAGTCTCTCACAAGGACTCAATACTAGTAAATAAAAAAAGCTAATTAAAGAAAAATTAAGTATTGAAATTTTTATAGCTTTCCGTCAGTAGGAAGCCTTAAATGATGCTATGATGAAAACATACACGTAAAATGGAATTTGTAATGATAATGTTTTCGTTAATTTCTACGAATATAAACCAAAATATACACACTGCAAACATTTTGTTAAAAAGCAACCTATTTCTTGAACACAAAATAAAAGGATGATTGAGTGATATGTTTTTGGTGATACTACATCGGTCTGAACGATAATAAAATGACCTACGGGTAAGTGCTAACGACACAAAATTCTCTACGACTTGGATGGGATATTTTGTTATTTTCGTAGGGTTTAGACTGGAAATACTTCCCAAAATACTCAAGGTATTAATTACAAATCTATTAATTCAATGTTTTAACTGTACAAAATGTTAACCACTTTGATTAATGATCAAAAATGTCAACATTAATATAAAAGACACTTGTAAATCACAAATAATATTAAAGACACTTGACACGTGCTTGCTCGTGATTAGTTCCAATACAAATGGGCACGTGCTCGTGTGATATAAAAAATAGACATGCCTCCGCTTTGATCAACGATTTCTCGACTCTTCTCTTTTGTTAGTTTCGATGTTACCTCCTCCACTGTTAAAAGCAACATAATAAAAAAAATCAGGAATGATAAATTGTATATGTAGGTAACGCGATTTGTTTTTAAACGTTATTTTTAAAGCATATTTTATATGCAAGGTAAATAAGAAAAAAATAATATGTTCACAATAATATTCAGATTTTTGCAAAATTATTATATCTTAGCAACTAGCCATTGAAATATCTGGCAATGATGTAAGAGGCGGCGTACACCTTTGACTAAAGTATCGCACAACTGATTAGTCTTGCTTTGATTCATATGATATTATACGGAAGTGCGCACTACTCTACACTACTCGATTTTTAGTTGTACAACTAAACAGTTGAATTGGCTGCAAATAATTGCAGAACAGTTGTGCGATAGTTTAGTCAAATGTCCGTTCTAAACCCATGAAAGCTCTTTTACCGTAACACTAGAGCTAGGTACAGATTTTTGTCAAATGTATTAGAACTACCTGTTCCCTTGCGACTTCATCCGCATAAAATTATGAACATTTTATTTTATTGTTTACATGTGTCAAATTATCAATTGCAAATGTCAAATGACATGACATGATGACAACCTTGCTTCCTTGATGTTGGCAGCAATTTATGGTCTCTTTCCCACATAAGGGTTTTTATCCAAAACATTTACCCCCTAAGTTCAATGACGTGAAAACATATAGCCTAAAGCGTGACATAAGTCTAGGGCTTTTTATTAAAGAAAGAATTATTCCAAAAATATGCTGTAAAAGCTGACATCTTAGGCAACAAAGAAGTGTGTGTTTACGCTTTATTATAATAGTATAGATGTATGGTATATACCGGGACAGACGGCGTTGCACTCGTCCTTAGTGCGGAAGTTGTTGTGGTTGCCGGAGCAGCCGTGGTAGGTGAAGCGCTCGCAGCGGTTGCGCGCCGCGTTGAAGTGCCACCGCGACACGTTCAGTCCCCCGGACTCGCACGCGCCCTCGTCTTTGCTCTCGAAACACACCGTCCCTAACACGGATTGACATAACATTTTTTTTTAATTTAGTATAAACAAACTAGCAGCAGATCCCGTAAAGGTACTTGATCCGACGCCCATGGACATCTGTAACGCCAGAGGAAACACAAATGCGTTGCCTTTAAAAGAGAATGCTCTTTTCTAGAAGGCCCCTGTGATAATATACTGAGGACAGTATATTAGTACAGTGCTAGTACTGAAATATTCACTCTTATTGGTGCATAGAATGGACTGGATCAAGATATTACATGTTCATCAAGTAATAAAAATGTATCTATCTGATTATAGTATAACCTGGGAGTTTATTACTAAAAACTCCGACATGTGGTAAAGCCCTAATCTATTCTCTATAGATGCAAATCTTTAAAATCGACAACTTATCTTTTGACCATCTTTGAAATCAACGTCCTAATCTT